GAAGTGGCCGCTGAGGTAGATCATATTGCCCAGACCTGGGGGAGCGAACGCTGGCGTGAACGTACACACTCGGAGGCCAACACGGACTTCTCGGATCGGCCCTGGGTCCCCCGTCCCTGGCGCCGGTCCGAGACATCCGCGCGGACCTCCGAGTGGTTGTGTGTACGTCATGGTTTGTTCCCCTGAGACCGTTCCTCACCACGCTCCACGCCTCGCGGCCCTTGATCACGTGGAAGTTGTCCCCGTGCCCTGGGGAGTCGAGGATCGTGGCCTGCCCCGACTTGATGATGTCGCTGATCGTCGTGTGTACCTCCGCGGCCCTGGTGAAGGTGGCAGGCGGAGCCGCAAGCCCGTCGACCACAGTGGCCAGGTCGGAACTGGTGGTCCAACCATCATTGATGGCCTCCATCATGAACTTCACCTCGGCCCATGTGATCGCCACGACGGGGTAGGCCAACCGAATGAGCCTGGAAAGACCAACGTCGCTCTCCGTGCCGATGTCGATCAGCTCCTGGACCGTCTTGTACTTCAACATGTAACTCGCGTCCGCGACTGGATCGCAGATCTTCCAGGACAGATTACTCGTGCTGGCGAGGTTGTTCCATCCGCCGAGCTGGAAGCCCATCATGTTGGTGGCGTACTCGCCACCGTTCAGGCTGGCCACGGGGCAGTCGTTGGACACGTAGCACCACTGCTTGTCGGTCATGTTGTCGTCGCCCATGGCGACCACGCCATCGGTCTCGTCGCTCAGCGCCAACAGGTCAACGTTGACGCAGGAGTTGTTCTTAAGGTTCTTGAAGAAATCGTTGCAGACCTTGTGCGGCAGGCCTGCGATGGGCTCAGTGGCAGCATAAGCAGCAGTGAAGCCGTACTTGGACAGGAAATGGAGCTCTTTGCCGCGGCCGCACATGGCGAGGTGGTCGTAATACACCCCTGCCCAATTGAGACAGTCACATGGCCCAGCCCGCGCGAAGGCAAGGCTGGCAAACGCAGAGACAATCTTGGCAAGCATGATGCAACTCGGATGTGTGTGTATGTGAAATCTACAAGCGGTGTGCTCGACAGCTTGTCTCAGCAGTGGAGCGAGCCAATAAGGTTATGGACAGGAGGTGAGGATGCGGTGAACCCGGAAAACCCTGAGGCGGGGCGCTCTGACGCGGTGGCCGGGGCCGCACCTTGCGCTGATTGCTGCTCTTGCTGCTGAACCGCCCTGTTCTGCTTGCTCTTCTCCGCTGCTGTTAGGTCGGGCGTCTCCTACAGGCGGATTTTGGACGACAGATAAAACATACTCAAAAAAACAAAATAGCAAAAAATAGTCGACAAATCGTCCCCGGAGCATTTTTGGATTATTTTGAATATTCCTCCTGTAGAGGGACGCTACTGCGCCCTGGCAGCGACCGCGCTGGCGCCCTGGCCCTGGCCCCGGCTGCTGCCGCGGCCTCGCTGTCCTGACTGGCCGCTCCGGCATGCTAGACACGGAACTCTTCTGCGTCTGAGCAGCTCCCTCCTTCACCCGCGCGGCCACCCTCTTCTCCCTTCAGGCCCCCAGAGACCAGGACACAGATAAACCAGGACACGTAAAACCAAGGGAACGACACCCTATTCTGCAAAGTTCCATTTTCAGCACCCGTGCATTTTTCGTTTGCTGCAAAGCAGGATTCGTGTATGTGTCTGGGTTTAGTGGGGGTCTTGCAGGCTTTTAGGGCTTGTGACCCGGCTTATTTTGGAAATGCCGCAGTGCAGCATGTTGTTCGTGCCGCCGTCTGGAAAAATTGGCTTCAAACGATGTTGGGTGTCCGTGTCTAGCATGTCCCGGTTTACGGGGCTCTGATCCGGCAGGATCCTGCAGGATCCTGCACCCAAACCCGGGCCAATGCGAAGGATCTTGCAGGATCCTGCAGGATCCTGCAACCAAGCCCGGGTCAGTGCGACCCGGGCCTGCAGGATCCTGCAAGATCGGGCGCTCTGACTGACCCCCATTTGCATTGACCCCCGTCCCAAGGCTCCCGTTCCCTCTCTTGAGCAGGGACCGACCGTCAGGGCATTCCTATAGTCCTACCACGACATGTTCATAGAACCCACAAATGGTTGAAGAACAAAAACAATGTTCTTCGAACATTCGCCCGATGCGTTAAAACAAGACAATCTCAACCCGAAATGTTCCAAGAACACGTCGTGGAAGCCACAAGAGGTTCTTAGAGAACATTGTCTGGCAGGCCTATAGGCACGCCAAGACGCTTCGCCACTGCTTGACTCTCGCTCTCTTGCACGCCGGATCGTTTGCCCATCGGTGCCCCAGATCCGCACGACTCTGGTGCGGCTCGCCTCCGCCTCACCGCCGGCAAACAAAAAAAAGCGCGCACGGCACGGGGCCTCCGCCGAGGCGAGCGCAGGCCCGCAAGCACTGCGGACACGACACGGCCCCCTCGAGGACCGAGGCAGCGCCTCCAGCGCTGCTCGACTGGGCAGGGTGGGGGACCTAATTACGAACCCCCCTGGGGTTCGACTCCTCCTTACTACGAGGCTCTGAACAAGCGTCGCGGGGAGGCGTCGCCCCCGCCGACGGCCCCACATCGACCCCCGTCGCGGGCAGCCACCGCGCGCCGAAGGCGCTCCGACCCCCGTCGCGGCGCGACGACGAGGTGAGGTGGACCCCCCCAGGGGGACGAACACTGACAAAAGCGTAAAAACTCGGAGGTCCGCGCGGGCTTCGCGGATCGGCGCTGGGGCCTCCTGGCGGCGCCTCCGGCGCCGCCCCTGGCGCGCTCGGCGCGACAGGGAGGAGGAGGAGGAGGAGGAGGAGGAGGAGGAGAGAAGAGGAGGAGGAGGGAGTAGGAGGAGGGGAGGAGAAGGGCGGGGAGGGAGTATGAGGGCCGGGAGGGGGGAGGAGGAGGAGGAGAGGAAATGGAAGGAGGAGAAGGAGGAAAAAGTAGTAAGGAGGAGGGAGGAGGGGGGGAAGAGGGAGGGGGGAGGGGGGAGAGGAAGGGAGGGAGGGGAAGAGGAGCAGAGGAGGGGGGATGGGCGACGAGGGGGAAGGGAGGAAGAGGGTCGAGCGCCATCCCGGAAATCCCGCGCACGCGGACCTCCGAGTTGTTATGTTTATGTCGTTGTGCGTTCCCCTGCTGCTCCTGCTCCTCCTGCTCCTCCTTCTCCTCCTCCTCCTCCTACCCTCGCGATCTGGTGTCGGGTGATCCTCGATGGCCTGCTCCTCTGCCAGCAGCGCGAGCAACTGCACGAGGTCGGGGTCGGCACCTGGCGCGGGGAGCCCCTGCTCCTCCTCGGCGGCCTGTTCCTCCTCCACCTCCTCCCCCTCCTCCTCCTCCTCCTCCTCCTCCTCCTCCTCCTTCTTCTCGGCCTCGTCGTCGGCCTCATCTTCGGCCTCGTTCTCCCTCTTCCTCCCCCGTCCCCCTCCCCCATCGACCCCCGCCCTACGTTTTATCCCGTCGCCTCCATTCCCTGCGCCACCTCCAATTCCCTCTTTCTCCTCGGCCTCCTTATCTTTCCTGATCCCTCGCCCCCTCCTCCCTTCTTCCCCCTCGCGGGTATCCCGCACGGATTCTTCTTCCCAGATGACCAGCAAAAATACATGCGACAAGGAACACACAACCCCTCCGGTCAACAACTGGACTCGCTGTACTCCACCACTCTACCACGCTCACCCTCGGACGAGGACGGTCCGAAAGAGTGACGAGAAGGGCGTGAACATGGCATTCAAACATAACGGCAACATAGTACTCCGTGAGCGAGTACCCATCGGTCGGGAGAAGTAGGCAGAAACATGAAGTAGGAAGGCGGATAAAGTAGGTTGGGCTCGGGCCCGCCCAGAGAGCAACAATACGCAGCAAAGGCAGATCGACTCTTGAAGTAGGAAGGCGCTTGAAGTAGGTCGGGCATGTCCTCCTACAGGAGGATTTGGGACGAAAAATAAGTATCATGGCGAAGGACACAACCATATGCAGCTGTGGGTGGGTATCTCAATTGTGGATATCTGCTTCGGTGAAGCTCCCTATGGGGCCACGAAGCGCTGCACTTGGTGGGGGGGGGACGTATGCGGGCGGTCCCACTGGGGCCGTCGGTGGAGCTCCCTATGGGGCCACGAAGCGCTGTGCTGGGCGGGTGGAAATACCAAACTGGGTGTTTCGAAGCGCGCGCGGACGGTCCCAAAGTGGGCTTCGGTGGAGCTCCCTATGGGGCCACGAAACGCTGTCCTGAGTGGGTGAAAGGTATCCAATTGGGTGGGTGGGACGCATGCGGGCGGTGCCACTGGGAGCTTCGGTGGGGCTCCATATGGGGCCACGAAGCGCTGTATTGTGTAGGCGCAAATACCAAATTGTGTGTGGGGGGGAACGCATGCGGGCGGTCCCACTGAAGGCTTCGGTGGAGCTCCCTATGGGGCCACGAAACGCTGTGGTGGGCGAGTGGGAATGCCAAGTTGCGTGTGTGTGTGTGTGTGTGTGTGTGTGTGTGTGTGTGTGTGTGTGTGTGTGTGTGTGTGTGTGTGTGTGTGTGTGTGTGTGTGTGTGTGTGTGTGTGTGTGTGTGTGTGTGTGTGTGTGTGTGTGTGTGAAAATACCGAGGTGTGTGTGTGTGTGTGTGCCTGTGTGTGTGCGTGCGTGCGTGCGTGCGCGCGTTCGTGCGCGTGTGCGTGTGTGTGTGTGTGTGTGTGTTAGTGTGTGTGTGTTGTGCTTTGATGTGTAATACTTAGTGCGCATTGTGTGTTTTTGTGTGTTGTGCGTGGTTGTGCGTTGTTAGTTGTTAGTGTGGGTGTCTGTGCGTGGTAGGTGTGGTGTGTGTGTTTTCGTGTGTGTATGTCAGTAGTGTATGTTGTGGGGGGGGGGGGGGGGGGGGGGTAGGGGTGTGTGTGGGGTGTTGGGGGTGTGGGTGTGTGGTGTGTGGGTGGTGTGGGTGTGTGGGTGTGTGGGGTGTCCTGGTTGTGTGTGTGGTTGGTGTGTGTGTGTGCTGCGCGTGCGTGCGCGCGTGCGCGCGCGACGCGCGCACGTGGTGTATGTTGTGTATATGTTTAATGTGTGTTGTGCGTTTGCGTGTGGCGTGTGCGTGTGCGTGTGCGTGTCGTGTGCGTGTGCCGTATGCGTGTGCGTGTCGTGTGCCATGCCGCGTGTGGCGTGTGCGTGGGTGGCGTGTGCGTGTGCGTGTGCGTGTGCGTGTGCGTTGCGGGTGCGTGTGCGTATGTGTGTGCGTGTGCGTGTGCGTGTGCGTGTGCTTGTGCGCGTGCGTGTGCGTGTGCGTTGGTGCGTGTGCGAATGTGCGTGTGCTAGTGCGTGTGCGGGTGTGTGTAGTGCGCGTGTGCGTGTTGCTGTGCGTGTGCGGTGAGCGTGGTAGGCGTGTGCGTGTGCGCGTGCGCGTGCGCTGCGCGTGCGCGTGCGCCGTGCGCGGTGTGGCGCGTGCGTGGGCTCGTGCGCTTGCGCGTGCGCGTGCGCTTGCGCGGTCGTGTGCGTCTGGTGCGTTGTGTGCGTGTGTGAGTGTGTGGCGTGTGTGCGTGCGTGCGTGTGTTGCGTGTGTGGCGTGCGCGCGTGGCGTGCGTGACGTGCGTGGGTGTGTGTGTGCGTGTGCGTGCGTGTGCGTGCGTGCGCGTGCGTGTGCATGCGTGTGCGTGCGTGTGTGTGTGTGCGTGCATGTGAGCGCGTGTGCGCGCGTGTGCGCGCGTGTGCGTGCGTGTGCGCGCGTGTGCGCGTTTGCGCGTGTGCGCGTGTGCGCGTGTGCGCGTGTGCGCGTGTGCGCGTGTTCGCGTGTGCGCGTGCGCGCGTGTGCTCGTATGCGCGTGTTCGCGTGTGCGCGTGTGCGCGTGTGCGCGCGTGCGCGTGTGCGCGTGTGCGCGTGTGCGCGTGTGCGCGCGTGCGCGTATGCGCGTGTGCGCGTGTGCGCGTGCGCGCGTGTGCGCGTGCGCACGTGTGCGCGTGTGCGCGTGTGCGCGTGTGCGCGTGCGTGGTGCGTGGTGCGTGGTGCGTGGTGCGTGGTGCGTGGTGCGTGGGTGCGTGGGTACGTGGGTGCGTGGGTACGTGGGTGCGTGGGTGCGTGGGTGCGTGGTTGCGTGGGTGCGTGTGTGTGCGTGTGTGCGTGTGTGTGTGCGTGCGTGTGTCTAGCTCTGAACCGGAAGGGGCCCGCTCCCGACCCGCCGACCAAACAAGTGTGTGCGTGTTTGTGCGTGTGTGTGAGTGTTCGTGCGTGTGTGCGCGTGTGTGTGCGCGTGTGTGTGTGCGTGCGTGTGCGCATGTGTGCGCGTGTGCAAATGTGAGTGTGTGTGCGTGCGTGTGTGCGTGTGTGCGTGTGTGCCTATGTGCGTGTGTGCGTGTGCGTGTGTGCGTGTGCGCGTGCGTGCGTGTGTGCGCGTGGGTATGTGGGTGTGGGTGTGGGTGTGGGTGTGGGTGTGCGTGTGCGCGTGCGCGTGCGCGTGCGCGTGCGCTGTGCGCGATCTGCGCGTGGCGTGCGCGTGCGCGTGCGCGTATGCGTGTGCGTGTGCGCGTGCGTGGGCGTGGGCGCGTGCGTGTGCGTGTGCGTGTGGGCGTGTGGGTGGGTGTGGTGTGTGGGTGTGTGGTGTGTGGGGTGTGTGGGTGTGTGGGTGTGTGGGTGTGTGGGTGTGTGGGTGTGTGGGTGTGTGGGTGTGTGGGTGGAGTGTGGTTGTGTGTGTTGGGTGTGGGTGTGTGGGTGTGTGTGTGGGTGGTGGGGTGTGGGTGTGGGTGTGGGTGTGGTGTGTGTGTGTGCGTGTGTGCGTTCGTGCGTGTGTGTGTGCGTGCGTGCGTGCGTGCGTGTGTGTGTGCGTGCGTGTGTGTGTATGTATGTGCGTGCGTGCGTGCGTACGTGTGTGCGCGTGTGTGTATCTGTGTGTGCGCGAGTGTGCGTTTGTGTGTGCGTGTGTGCGTGTGTGCGTGTGTGTATGCGTGTGCGTGTGCATGCGTGCGTGCGTGCGTGTTTGTGCGCGGCGCATGCGGGCGGTCCCACTGGGGGGTCCGGTAGAGCCCCCTATGGGGCCACGAGACGCTGTACTGGGTGGGTGAAAATGCCCAAGTGCGCGCGTGTGCGTGTGTGTGTGTGCGTGCGTGTGTGCGCGTGTTTTGGTGCTTTGGTGCGTCCGCGCCCTGGGGCGTCAACGCCTCGCCAGGCCCGTGCACTGGGCCCTCGAGCGACCGACCGCCGCCTGCCGAGCCACCGAGGGGGCCGAGCCGCGGGCAGCGCCCCCGCCGACTCCCCAGGGCGCAGAGCGCACTGGCCCTCTCGAGGCCGCGCCCCGCCCAAGGCCCCTCAGCCTGGAGCCAAGGGGGGCTGAAAAGCAAGCGAGCCCAAGCCGAGCCCAGGCCACCGCCAGTGGCGAATGCGGGCCCAGGCGCCCCAAGGGGCAGCAGCCCCTCAGGCCCCCCAGCCACGGCTTCTCATCCGCGCCGAGGGGGGCATAGCACACTCAGGGGCACGGGCGCAACGGCCTCAGCTCCACGGCGAGGCCATCCACGCAGCTGGCACTCCTGCTGCAGAAGAAAGTTAATGAGGC